GGCATACCTAGATGACTCATCGCGAAGAGACGAAACAGCACACCTCACTAGTACGCTTGGAAAAAGGATGCCACACTGCGACACGTGGCATTAGAAGTAATGACGGTCCTGACACCATTACTAGGCCAGCGGGAACCCAATCACCACACGCGGCACTTGTCATATCGACACAAGAGGAACAATGACCGACACCACAACCTAACCACCAGCCAATCTACAAAAAGCTAATGGAATAAATGTACCCACAACCATCCGTCTAGTTATCTTTTGGTGAATGTTGCCAGAAAACAACTCACCAAAAGATAGGGGGCTAAACCATAGACCATACTAAGCCACCAAATATGGATATAAGGAATATGTTAATCGTACAAAACCACAGTCATCAAAACACCAGATCCAACAAAAGCAATATACTTATTGGTAAGCTCCCACTTATCAAGAAGCAGGGGGGCTAATGTAGGTACATACAGCTTACTTAGACCCTCAAAGAATACTCAAACACCAAGAATACCACCATCGAAATATCCACAAACAGTCAACAGTCAACTCCCTACGCTGCGATTAACCTTTATCTTTATCACGAGCGTTGCGATAAACTCATAGCATGCTGAACAGGACCGCGATAATCCCGCAACTCACCCAACCCGGTCAATACCCAAACACACGGAGCTGTTACAAAAAAGTGCCTCACGAATCGCCACATGATGCTAACAATCATCGACTTTCGGACGGTGACGTCATTGTCTCCACGTAGGATTAGCAATGGTGCACAGAAAAAAGTAGTAGCATACATTAATAATGAGCAAATCCTACATGGCGATACCTAGTAACGTACCCAATAATTGCCAACAAACAGTATATTTCTTTTTCTGATATAGCAAATATCCCTATTTCCTACCTTTTGGAGTTCCAGGGCCTCATCTATAAATAGGGGTCATCTTTGTGATTAGCACACAGGAGCCTTAGACGGCTTACTACCGATATTCCCAAGTACTCACAACCTTTGCACCTCCCTTCAGGTTCACTTTCCCTTCGTGGGCCTCCCTTCGTCCTTCGAAGAGAGAGAGAGACCGCTCCCTAATTTAACTAAATACCCGCGTTCCCTACAACCTCATTCCTAATTAAAATACCATGTTGAACAAACGCCAGTTGGCTAGGAAAAATGACTTGGGATAGTAAAGGTTTGATCCTATTAACAATTAACAATTAATTTGGCAATCATTTTGTGAATTGTGTTACAAAAATTAATGGGTCTAAAACGAGTTACCTGTTCAGGGTGTGGGCGCTTAGGGATCACTGTGATAGAGTTTTATTTAGCTCTCTAGGTATCACACCTTTCTCAAAAACCTCTAAAATTACATTAGCGACCACGATATCCCAGTATTGTTCAAAGGATTCAGTTGTAACTCCATTTGAGCCTGGCGTTTTCATTTTAGGAAGCTGCCAAAATAAATCCTTTAACCTCTTAAGTAGTGATAGAGTGAAAGTAGACATCGATAGGAATTTGTGCCTTTAAAAACGGAGAACATAACGTCGGATTTGAACGGGATCGATTTACAGCAAACATTCCTTTACCAACTCTTGGCATAAATCAAAACTTAAAATGGTCAAAAACCCAAACTGAGAGGCAGATTCCATCTCAATCCAGGTCTGATTAAGCGTCAGAATGTACTCTTCCCAAAAAGATGGCATATCGTCAGTCCATTACTCCGGTTATAAATGCCAGCCTGGTCAATCAAGATTCCAACTAGAGCCAGCTCAGTTTGATTTCTCTAAGCTGCCAGCTCATACAAGTTTAAAAGATTAGATGCTCGTACACAATCGCATCACAATAGTGAGGATATTCTAAAATAAAAGTAAAAAAAGCTCTTTATTAAAGATGTATGTATGATACTCTAAAATAAAATGCGTTTTACTTTTCAGATCCCGCGTACAGATCTCTTGACAATTCAAGAAATTAACACAGTTAAGGATCCTATAAGTGTTTTACGTGAGAGATTTTTATACCTCAATCGTTGATGGGTACAAATTATTATTTTTACCAAAAATATATTATTCTTCAGAATGACACTCGTATGATGTGGGTTGTTGACATTTTGAATGTTTATGGCTTTGTAGTGGAAATCTGAAATCTGCATTAGGTTTGTTCATACTTTTCCATAAAAAAAAATGGCACCTATGTTATATGGGCATTTTTCAAATAGAGTTTGAAACACTATTTATTTAATTTTTTATCAAATAAATGTTTCCCTAACGATTGGTATTTTTTCAATATTCAACTTAATTTTGTGGTGTCTAAGGCTGCTTTTGGGAAGAGTGCAAATAAAGTGTTAATGCAAATATGTAAAGTGCATTCTAGTTCACATAAATGTAAAGTTGGCTTAGTCTTGCATCAATAAATTTAATTTCTTGCCAAACGATTTTTAATTATAAGGGTAAAATACAAAAATCTCCCCTGAAGTTTCTAATAATCATAAAAACTTCCCCTATAGTTTCACTTTAGAAAAAACCTCCCCTGCATTATTAAATAACTCGACAAAAACCTCCCTTCTGTCAATGACCTAGACCGAAAACATCAACATTTATGAAATTACCCCTAAAGCATCATTAAACCCTATCTATTGCAGTGGCATTATTTCTCATTATATGCCATTCTCGGAATATTCCATCCATTTTTCCGGCAATTGTTCTTCACTAGAGATTATTCTTGACCAACAAGTGTTCTCTTATTTCTATTTTGAAGCTCATGTTTTCGGCAACTGTTCTTTACAACAGTTTCTTATCTGATGCCTTCCAAGGAAAATATTAACATTCTGATGCCCTTATAGGGGTGCCTATACAGGGGATTGAGATGTCCATCAAATTTAGATATATATCAGAGTTTAAAAACCAAGAGTGATGCCTTCTATCTTCATGATTCATTTAATGATATATTTGCAAGTTATGGATATATCCATTATGGTTGCAGTGCAATCAAATATATACTAATTCAAATCCATCAGGGTTGTACACGTTAATGGTAGAGACATTTCCAAACTGGGCCTGTATCTCCTGCTCAATTTGTCTAGTACCCCAACATTCTTAATTATACGACTTGTGTTCAAAATACCACAAGAAAATCCCCCCCCCTAATTAGGGGTTTCAAAGGACTGGTTTTGGGTTGGACTGGACGGACCAATATGACATATTGGATTGGACCTGGTCCGTCCATAATGAATTTATATTGGATTAAACCAATATCTGATCAATTGATAGAAGATAAGAACATAGGTGTCAATGGACCAGGTTTGAGTTGAAACCAATCTAAATTAATAGGAATTTGAACAGATTGGACAGTCTCTGAACCGGTCTAAAATGGTCTAAAATATTCATCGGACTGGATTGGACCAGGTCCATTTGTATCACATTGGACTGGATCAGATTGGACCAAATCCAGTCCAATTGACACCCCTACCCCTAATGTAATGGAGAGAAAACCTTCACCTGCACCTAGTACCGGAAAATTGTTTCTCTCGCCTCTGCAACACTTGACAACTCTGGTTCCGCCCACCAACGCGTAAACGTGGTCATCGCCCACCGTGACATCTTCAACTTGAGCGCATCATTGTAGTAGACCCTTTTGGGTACAAAGTCCCAATTCCAACAGAGTAGACTATTCCCTCCGAACCTCATCTTGCAAAAGAAATTATGACTGACAGAGATGGTTGTGAAAGATATGTCCAGCCCAATAGAGATATTGGCACCTCCATTATAGCATTCAATTCTCTTTGTAGGTTCTCTGGTTTGAAGATTTTTTATAAGAAAAATGCTCTGTTAAAACATGGTATATCATTCAATAGGTTTCCGTCTATGTTTGATTGATAGATTGAAAGAGTTGAATTCCTCCTCTTCAGACAGTGGAGTTCAGGGATAGGAGAAGAGGATGGATGAGAGGAAGAGGATAACAAGTCAACAGGGTATTTCAGTAAAAATATGAGTTCAAGGATAGAAAAAGGGGATAGAGGAGAGGAAAAGGGGATATTGGTCAATAGAGTATTTGAATAAAAATATATACAAACTATTTAAAGGGTAAATTGGGTATTTCAAAAAATGATGCATCGGTCTATCATTTTCTGTCTGGGTTATTGACGAAATAGAGGTTTTTGTCAAGTTATTTAAAAATTCAGGGGAGCTTTTTGCTAAAGTGAAAATATAGGGGAGGTTTTTATAATTGTTAGAAACTTCAAGTTTTTATATTTTACTCTAATTATAATGAATGCAAACACGAATCCTAAGGTTGAAATATACCTTTTTTAACATTGATCATTTTGAGTGTAAATGTTTTCATATATTTTCGATATAAATTTATCTTTCATTTTGAATGTAAACATGCCTTGAAAACCGTATTTCCTTGTCATTGTTAATACAGATGCACTAGCGAGGGGTGCCCACGCTAAGCACAAGCAATATATATATTACATAAAAAAGAGAAGAAATGCAAACTTTATATGTATGAGAACAAAACCACATTACAAAGTCATTAAACATACAATTCCCAAAATAAATACATATTTTATATGTATGACAAGGGAATCATCTTACAAACAAAGTCATTAATCATATAATTCCCAAAATAACACACTATTCATCTTGTGAACCAACCAATTGTTTGTTTGCGGAACACCAGAAACTATCTTCAAAGGAACACTTACCAAATTTTGCGAAATCAGAACAACATCATATGCAATTAGAAAGAAACATCAATGATGATAAAGAATAGATGATACCAGTTAAGTTTGGGGTTTTAGATACTCCAATTAAGTTGATTGATACAATTTCCACCTATAGGACGGAAATTCTTCATAGTCCTATGACAGTTCTAAAAAGTATAAAATTGATTTACAGTTGATGGGAGTTAATAATTGCTTAATATCAACATATTTTCAACATGCTTATTCTTGGCATCCTACATACATCGGTTAGTATGTCTAAGGACTAATTAAGAATAAATGAAATCTTATCCAATTTATGGAGACATTATAGTAGACGTCATTTAATATTCTAAATACTTAAACCAAATGCCCACATAAATTATCTCACAACATTGGTTGTCCCTTGGAACAACCTTGTTCTTGCTTTTTGGGTGTTTGAATGATAATTATCTCTTGTAAAGACGAATTCATAATCATTATTGTAAGTTAAAGACCAGGAGCTTACCTATTACTAATTTACAAGGATTACTAAATAAAATAAGCTGAAAAAACAGAGATGTTCCTAACCACCTTCCCAAGGTCCCTTGTTATTGCCTCCTGCAAGATGCCAAAAACATGAATAACCACATTCTTTCCGGGAGAAATCATTGAAGAAAAGAAAAAAATGAAAAAAAAAATCCTCATATAATAGAAAGAAGAGTGAAGTGTGATGAACTGCACCATTGCCACTTGTAGAGTCATGTTCCGTAGTCGTTGCCAAGCATTCTTTGCACAATGCAATCAATGCCCACCATCGATCACTCATATATAGCAGATCCAATCCCTATTATTAATTTATTATAGCTAGAAATCAAACCATACCAAGTTTTGGTCAAGGGTTAATCCCTAGGTGTTTTGCAAATATCCTTTTGCCTGAGTTCTCATCAAACTCCAACAGAGAGTAGAATTAATGACAAAGCCCAATCTCCTAATATATCCAATAATAACTACGTTGAGGACCACAACCCCACCCAATTTTTATGATTTGTTTTCCAGGTTCCTTCTTATAGCTTACCTCGGATTTGAGCTTTTCATTCTCCTTGGCAATGGAATCGTATTCAGAGGAGAGAGTCGTAAGAAGATTTGAGGACATCGTAATTCATCTCGAATTGCTTAGTCTTCCAGCGAACTCGTCTTTTTTGAAACCAAACGGTGACCAGCCTCGGCTGTAAACAGGGGCCTTTTGGCGATCTGGATCTTTCGCTCCGACTCCAGCTTGTTTTCCGCCTCGAAGCACTTCTCCAATAGGTTAACCTAGGCATAAGAGATAAGACCTCGCCAATTATATATGTATCCAAAATAATCAATTTTTAATTAAACAAAATTTTTAAGATTGAAGAAATTTTTTTCTTTCAACAAGCAGGAATTTTCAACAGGATTTAAACAATGTAGTTCATTTAATTAGATAAGAGTAGGGGTGTGGGTTGGGTTGGGTTGTGGATGACCGTTGGGTTAATCATTACAAATAGAAGTATTAATTCCTTAGTCTATTTTTTTTTTATTTTCTTTATTTGAATTGAATAATTTATAATTAATGCATTAATTTTCTATTAATTGTTGACTAAATTTAGTTGTCTTGAATCAACACACTTCACCCAACATAAACCCAAATCAATTTCACCCGAGTCCGGTTCAGTTCAATGCAGTCTGACCCGATCCAACATATACCGATCCGAGTCAACACGAATTTGAAATAGACCTCAAACGGGATGGCTCGGTATTGCTTGCTTTGCCCATTTTGGGTCGTCCGATCCAAACATTATTCACACAGCCCGGTCCGACCCGACACAAGTTGAGTTGGGTCGACCCAAATCCGAAGCGGGTCGGACCGAGTCCAGACACTAAATCACCCCACTTCCTTTGCCTAGTTCGGCTTGTATCCATACAACCCGACCCGAATCCAGCCCGGGTCAACAATGCTAGTTGACCTAGATCCTTTGGAGCCTCTGGCCTAGGACTAACCCGAATCTGGTTTGGTCCGGTCTGACCGAAGTGAACCATCCAGCTAGAGTCCGGCCCGACTAAGCTGAACTGGCCTGGTCGGGTGTGGTCCCGACCGGACTGAATCCGATCTGTTCGGGTCTGATCCAACCGGTCAGAACCGGTCAATCAGGAACTGGTCCGACCAGACTGGTCCAGATCTAAGCGGCTCAACCACTCTTGATGTTATTAGCTCAAAGACAATCCAATTATATAGTTCAAGTTGATCTGACTGGTTTGAACCTAAGTGGTTTGTCAAATCCAAAGCCCGAATATAGTTAAATGGCTTTGCTGCTTGTGTAAAAATAATGCATGTAATGTGATTTGAACCTTCACCACTTATGTAAATAACAACTAATATTACCACTAAGCTATAACCAACTTATTTATTATGATGGAGTTAGTTTTTGGTTTTAAGCACATATATATAAGAATAATGGGTTTGGGCGGATTGGATTGGGTTAAAGCGAGTTCGGGATGAACCCAATCCATTTAATTTTACATAATTGAGTCATTAACGGGTTGGCGGGTTAAATGGGTTGGGTTGAAGCTTAACCTAAACCAAACCCAACCAAGAGCTTTATTGAGGTGCTATTGGTGGAGAAGAGCGAGGTGGCCCGAGACAAGGACAGACTGAGGGCCGAAGTGAACGGGTTTAAGGTCGGCCAAGAAGCCTTGAAGCTTGAGGACTGATGAGGATGGAGTTAGTTTTTGGTTTTAAATACATAAATATAAGATTAATGGGTTTGGGTGGATTGGATTGGGTTAAAGCGAGTTCGGGTTGAACCCAATCCATTTAATTTTACATAATTGAGTCATTAACGGGTTGGCGGGTTAAATGGATTGGGTTGAAACTTAACCTAAACCAAACCCAATCCAAGAGCTTTATTGAGGTGCTATTGGCGGAGAAGAGCGAGCTGGCCCGAGACAAGGACAGACTAAGGGCCGAAGTGAACGGGTTTAAGGTCGGCCAAGAAGCCTTGAGGCTTGAGGTTGACAGTCTCAAGGCAGACCAGGACAGTTTCAAGGCAGACCAGGACGCCCTGAAGCTCGAGGTGCAAGGCCTCAAGGAAGCAAAAGGGAAGTTGGAGCACGAGGTGGAGTACCTCCGAGCCGACCTCAAAGAGAAGACTGAGATCTTCGAGGATGACCTCAAGGAGACTAAGGTTCAAGCATTTATCGACTACGTCCAATCTTCAAAATTTGATGATGTGATGACCGAGGCCTACCGCAAGGGCTTCAAGCTCAGCCGGTGGTTGATTAGACATCTCTACCCCGGTCTTGATATAAGCGCTATCACTACTTCACAGATCACTGATGACATAGTGCGTCAGTCAGCAGATGATCCGGACTTTGAGGACAAAGGCGCCGATGATGAAGTAGAGGCCATTGGTCCGGTTACTGCCTCTGAGGAGGTCCCTGGCGAAGGCAACGAGCCTCCAAAGTAGCTCAGTCCTTGTATTTGCGAGCTTGATCTTTTTTCGTTTTGTAACAAACTTCTTGTAATGAAAATACACTTTGCTACATGCTGTGCAATTTACTCTCTTTACTTGCTGAAGTGATTATCTTATCCTGAACCGTTAAGCTATTAAGCTAAACACGCGAAGTGAGGGTTTCTCAACTGTCGTTACCCCAAATTGTCTTCCAGTACTTAGTAGGGGTAACCTTATGTACACCGAGGCGAGTAACATAGCAGGGTATATGCCCGACCTGTCTGTGCCCGGTTAGAGTTGACATCGGTTGTCCTTAATGGGTTCAACCTGTTGCATGCTGGGGCAGGCTATGCATCACAAGGTTCGTACCCGAGCTGCCTGCGCCTTAGGCATTACAAGTACTTAGCCTATGCTGATGAGGCGGCTAGGTCTTATGTGGTGTCGGAGTCTTTCATTAGCTCAGCGTTTTAGCCCTTAGGCTGGGGGGGTGGCTTATAGTCCGCTCTCCTGGAGTTCACCCATGTCGAAGAGGCGACAGGGTCTTGTAGCGCCGAGGTCATGTTAGCTCGGCATTTTTTGGCCCTTAGGCTCTGGGAGTGACTCGTAGTCCACTCAGTTGTTATAGGTAATACTGTCTTAAGTTGACAATATTCCATGCCCGAGGTACCTGACCTTGGCGTTATAGTACCGAGCTACTCTTTGCTGGTAAGCTGTAGTCCTGATGTATGCAAGGTCCCTTACTTCGTCGAGTAGATCAAGGTTGGTACGCAGCTCATACTCATTCGTCTTATCATTGTATTCTTCCAGTCGCAGCATAGGTACTTCAATTTCTGCCGAGATAACTGCTTCGGTGCCGTAGGTGAGGTTGAAGGGAGTCTCTCCTGTGGCGGTTTTCTCTGTCGTTCGATAAGCCCATAGAACACTGGGTAGCTCTTCTTCTGCCTGACCGTTTGCTTGAGGGTGTGCGACTGAAGTGAAATTCTGTCGGATTCCCATGTCTTGGCACCAGTTCTGGAATTTGATGTCCTCGAACTGTTTGCCGTTGTCAGAAATCAGTAACCGAGGTAACCCGAAGTGGCACACAATGTTCTTCCAAAAGAAGTATTGGACGTTCCGGGCTGTAATCGTTACAAGAGGTTCAGAATTACCCACAAGAAGTTTTGATGTCCTCCTGCTACACCTCAACTCAACAGTGTTTCAGAGAGGAGGAATAGGACCTTGTTGAACATGGTCCGGTCACTTCTCGTACGCTCAGAATTACCCACATCCTTTTGGGGATACGCATTCGAGACTACTATCTACGTGCTGAATCGGGTTCTAACCAAATCAGTTCCGAAAACACCATATGAACTTTGGATCGGAAGGAAGCCAAGTATAGGACACTTGAAGATTTGGGGTTGTCCTGCACACGTTAAAAGAACAAGTG